GAGACTGGATCATCTGGAAGGCCTTGAAGCTACTCTGGATGCTGGGTCACCTGGGATATCTGTTTTTATTGGTTTCTGCCCCCTGTTCTGAAAACACATAAACTTTTAAAGGTAACATACATATCTGCATTAATACAAGTATAGACTGTATGTTGTACACAAATTAGCCAAAGATGATTTTTTGTTTTATATTTGAGCAGGTAAAATATACATCATGCATCTTGTAGTTCTTCTAGGTTTATTTACTTATTCATTCTGTAGTCAGGATTTTCAGGGTGTCTTCCTCCATCAAATATGAACCATATCAACCTGGCATGACTCTATAGCCTCTCATCTCCTATGGAAATAAAAGCATAACCTCTTCCCCAAAGTAACCTATATTTTGACTTCCATTTTGAAGTCAAGACATTTTTTAAATATATAGGTTAGTTTAATCCAGTTTTTATAACCCAGTGCATCTTAGCAGTTGTCATTCCTTCATTAGCAATCAGAAAATGTAAAGACAACAAAATAGCATATAGAATCCAGACTCTCTATGTATTTCCATCTTTATGTGGCTTATGATTTTTTATTCTATTTCTTTTTAAGGACTTTTTATTATTTTTAAACTATTTTTTAATCTATAACCATTTCTACCTTTCTTTTCTCTCCTAAACCTGTGTATATTTTAAAACATATCATAACCCATTTAAAAGGTTATTTTCTGTCTGGATCTGTCTTTATTGAGCATCTGTATTATTTTTTGATTGCATGAAATGAATCTTAAACTGTCAACTGCTGCTGGTGTAGCTTAGCTTAGTGCATGGCACTAATGTGTGGCCGGTGGCAGCTGACTCCTCCCATAGGCAGGTGCTGAGAGACACATCTCAGTACTGTGGACAGCATGAGAGTCATGAGACCAGGAAGCTGCATTTGGCTCTGTTTTTGTGTGTTTGGAAACTTTTTAAAGCATTTAAGGCTTTATGTGGATGTTTGGGCTACAGGTACAGAGGAAGGTGGTTATAAATGCCAACTAAGGCCGTATGGCCAGTTGCAGAAACGAGATTATAATTGACGTGTTTCTGTCATATTTGTTAGCCATGTGTTTGCACAAATATTTGTGTTTCTTTCCTCTATTTCTCTACCATGTAATGTAAAAGCGATTAAAAGAATATCAGTGATTGTCATATTTTAGTTTGAGATACTGAAAGAATGTCCCTCAAGGGACACTGCTACCTGCATTTGCAGTTGTATGAGGGGAAGTTATATCATGTTACTCATCAATATAACTCAGTTATTGTTTTCATTTGGAAATTAGGTCTGACATAAAGAGATACAGTTGTGTGTCAAATTGACAAGGAGCATACTGTGCTGAATATTCTTGGTTGTTAACTTGACTACATCTGGAATGAACTAAAGCTCAAATGACTGGGCATATCTGTGAGGGATGTTTTTTCTTAATTCAATCATTTGAAGTGGGAAGACCCATTTCTAATCCGGATCTTTTGTTTGTGGGATGATAAACCTTAATCCAGATTTTTTTTTTGAGGAAGGTAAATCCACCTTTAATCTGGAGCACACCTTCTTTTGTCAGCCTATATAAAGCACATGGAAGAAGGAAGCTCTTCCCCTCCCCACCGTGCCACATTTGCTCTTGTTCTCACTAGCAAGTTCATTCCTTCTCTGACATTACAGCCTACTTCTTTGGGATTTCAGAGTATACTGAACACCAGCTAAGACATGCAGTCTTGTGCACTGACCATCTACTGGATTCTTGGACCTTCTGTTCATAGGCAGCTATTATTAGGTTAGCTGGACCCCCTTTACATATACACATATACACACAGACACATACATACAGATAGATCCATTCTTTAAGTTTTTGTTTTCTTCTAGAGAACCCTGACTAATACAATCCTCTACTTGGTGTATGTAGCAGGGGGGTTTAAGTGGGGCTTAGCTGGAGGAGGTAGGTGCCTGGGGACCTTTCATATTCTTAGCCTGCCCCCAATTCCTGTCATTTTCCTATGTCCAGACTGATAATGCAATGTGTCAGACTATATTCATATATATGGACTATATCCCCTTAAACTGTAAATTCAAATAAACCCTTCCCTTAAGTTGCTTCTTGTCCAGCATTTTGTTACAGCAAAAAAATATGTGTGTGGCAGGGATTGATAGACTGTGGATATCAAGATGAAAAGAGTATTTGATTCCTTTACAGAAAACAGCACTTAATGTGCTCATCCTCTCACATATGACATATCATTTCCAACACAGGGTAAGTGCTGTGCAGATCATCTTCATGCTAAATTGTTTAGGGAATAATGACAAGAACAGTCTGCACATGTGCAATACAGATGCCCGTATCCCCCTTAAGTATTGTAATCTGAAGTTAGTTGAGTCCACAGATATGGAACTCATGGACACAGATTGCCAACTCTATCAGTTGCTGGTAATAAAATCTGAGGTTGGAGTGGAAATTAGAATTTTGAAAATCTATACTCACCACTCTAAACATGGTGGTTTCCCCAGTGCAAGGACTTCCCTGATAAAAATGATGGTTATATGAACAGTTGAGATTTGCAGGGGTTGTTGTCGATATTGTTATTGTTTTCTCCTTTTAAAACATAGTATTTTATTAATTGATAATTCTTACATGCCATTCAATGAATTTTTTTCGTATTTCCCCCTACTCCTGTCTGTAACTTCTCCCAGCTCCACCCTTCATGCTCGCACACCCCCAACATTACACCCTTGCTTAAAGCTATCAATTGTCAAGAGCTCCTTACTTAGCTAGGGATGGGAACTCGTGACTCCTTTCCTGATTTGTCAAATGTAATATTTTCTGATATTATAGAATAAAATGCATCTATTTGTAAGATATGCCTAATTTAGTGAACCAATGTTTTGCTAAATAATCAATGCTTAATATTATAATATCATGCATGGGTAAAAGACCCATTAAAACTGCAAGATGGATTTTAATGTACCAGAGAACAAAAATATTAGTATTGCACATTGTTACTATAACTTACTGACTTTCATGTACTATCCATGAAGAATGTGCATAATTATCAAAGCTATTTTAAAAATAATACTAATTTTTCCAACTATATATTCTATATGGGGCCAGATATTATGTATCAGGTGAAGAACAGATATAAGAATACTGTTTTTTTCCATATGAACAAACACTACACTCTAGAAATTTGCAAAAGTTATGTTTTGAAGAATGAGACTTTTTTCATAAACATATGTATCTAACATGCATATGGTTTATTATTTTTAAATGAATTGGTGATTCTAATTTATCAGTTTAGTTTCCAAATGGCAAATATCGATACGTACTGTCCAGACAAACAAAAACTCTTTGGGGCTTTCAAGCATTTCAAAAAGAGGTAAGGGGCCCTACAAACAAAAAGGTTTGAAAATTGCTGGCCTATTTTGTATTTACAGAGTATTTATGATGCTGATCAGGTAAATCAAATGTAGTTAAGCAAAAAGAACTGCATAATGGTGATGACAAATGAAAGGAATTGTCATGAAAGGAAAGGGTTGGTTCCAAGCCATTGAGGGCACAATAGTCAGAGACAGGGGTGCTATGTGGCTTGGAGCATGTTAGTCTGTCCTCAGTTTCTTCCCCATAGAATGACAGCCATCACATCACTTACTTCACAGTATCGTTCAGAGCATGTGGGATAGCCTTGACACTTACACTAACTTCCTTGTGCACTAAAGAGAATGTGGGATAGCGTTGACACTTAGACTAACTGCCCTTGTGAATTTTTGCCTGAGTTGACAGCGACCAGCCCACATTATGACACACAAGTGCTGCTGACCCTGCCCCACTGGGGGAAGACTGAGAGCACCAGATACAGTCACTAAGCTGCAGAGACAAAATACTTTGGAGCTGAGAAAGACATCAGAGTTCCATAAGCCCATTCTTGCCCTAGCATCACACTTTCACATCCAGGATCACATCTGTTACCCCTGTGAGGAACCTGGATATGCTCCAAGGTTTCAGAACAAACGATGTGAGGTTGACGTGGATTCATATGCTGGGTCCCAAGCAGTTAAGATTTTTCTTGTTCCCAAAATGTGATTAATTTTCGCTTCAGCAGTTTGGCTGCCAGAGGATCATTCAGAAAGAGGCTCATTTCAGCAAGCTTCCACACAGGCACCTTCACCATCAGGAAGATGAATGCTTCTAAGAAAAGAATGTTCTAGTTTTTTATGATGAGAAAGGATTTGGAGGGGGAGGTGGAGAGAGAATCCCTGGGTCAATCCAGGGCCTCACACATGCTACGAAATTGCTATAGCAAGGGATCTCCATCTGCAACCCAGGAAATCCTCTCCACAGAGCTACAGAGATTCTTAAATATTTGTGGAATGACTTTATAGAATGCTAAAGCAGAATCTGACTCTGAAGCTGAGGCGTGTACATGGAGTTTGAAGTTACACTGTCAGTGAGACAAACAATAAATAAAATGTCACATCTCATTTGGCCAGGCCCTGCCACCCTGTATCAAGCAGGATGAATTTAACTCTAATTGTTGCTAAGGTTTCTGAGCATGCTGGATTTCAATTATAAAAACTTCATTGAATTTGAATGTTACCTTCTCTCTGGGATGTGCCTAGTGTACTGTTTAATATTAATTTCCCAGGGTCTCTTTTTCCTACTTCATTTTTATTTTGGGTATTTTGGGTGGGTATTTTGTTCGCTCTGTCTGCTTCATCATGACAGTAGGTTTCCATCCTTTTTCCTTTTGTGATGTGTTCCTAACTTCTAAGATGTGCCAGGCGTGTGATGAAGATCCCCCAGTTTTATCTTCTTACTCTAACTTGGGGATAGACAATGCCTCTGACATTGCATATCATGAATTCACACAAATGTGATGTCTTCAAATGTGCTCACATTATTAGTACTGCCCATATTTCTTTGAAGGAATCTAGTTCATGAAACTTTGATATTATATGATCATACACGGACTTCTGTTGTTGTTCATTGTTGTTGGCAGGAAAGAGCCAGGAGCTGCCTAAGATACCTGATAAGCCAGCTGGCTAACATGGAGCATTCATTTCACCATATTCTGCTGCTGGAAATTAAGAGCATCACTGATACCTTCTCTTCCATCCTGGGCCCTCACAGCAGGGACATCTTCCGAATGAGCAACAGCTTCACCAACATTGCCAAGCTGCTTTCCCGACATCTGGAAAATGGCAAGGCTGGGAATGGCAGGGATCTAAAGAACCCTAACAGAACAAATGTCTAAACGAAATGTAAAATATGATAAAGAAACAGAGTTATCTATAGAAGCCAAACAGAACAAATGTCTAAACGAAATGTAAAATATGATAAAGAAACAGAGTGAAGTACAAATGGCAATGCCAAGTAGCACTCATTTATTTATTCAACAAACATTTGATACTTGTTTATTCTTTACTGGGAATCTAAGCAGGGGGATAGAGGTCACTGTCCAATAGACTAAATAGTTAAATAATTAGGGAACAAAATTATATTCTAGAGGAAGAGCATATAAAGATGTGTTCAAAGAACTTGGAGAACAGTGAGATGGTGGGTTCTACCTGTGAGTTCAAGGCCATTCTGAGCTTCACAAGATTATGCCAGTCTAAAAGAGAAACAAAGCCAGGCAGTGGTGGCTCACACCTTTAATCCCAGAACTAGGGAGGTGGAGACAGGAGTGATGGCTGGGCAGAGAGAGGAATATCCTGCTGGAGGAGACAGGAGCTCATTGCATTCAGTCTGAGAATTCCTAGAGACAGGACTGTGCATTCAGTCTGAGGATTCATAGAGACATGATCACCCCTTTGGTCTGAGCATTCAGTAGTACAGCTTCTGTGATTTTTCAGCATTAATTCTGATATCTGACTCTGGGTTTAATTATTTTTATTTATTTATTTAAATTCTTTAATTACCACTCATATTTACATATCCATCCCCCCATTCCCTCGCCCTCCCATCCTCCCATGTTCCCCACCAACCCTCCCAACCCATCCCCCCAACTCCTCCCCAGAGACAGAGAGGCCCTCCACCAGGGACCTTCAAAGTCTGTCATATTGTTTGGGGGAGGGCCCAGGCCCTCCTTGCTGTATCTAGGCTGCAACAATATCCCTCCATAGGAAATGGGTTCCCAGAGTCCATTTGTGCTCTAGGGTTGAAGACTGGCTCCACTGTTAGAGGTCCCATAGACTTCCCTGGCCTCCTAGCTGGCTCCCACATTCAGAGGGCTTGGTTCAGTCCAGTGCTGTTTCTGCAGCTTTATGACTAGGGTCTTCATGCTCTCACTAGGTCAGATCCACTGTTTCTGAAGGTCTCTCCAGCCCTGTCTTGGCTCCTTTGCTCATCCTTCCTCCCTCTCCACAACTGAATTCCACAAAATGGTTCAGTGCTTACCTGTGGGTGCCTGTTCCTGTTTCAAACAGCTACTGGATGAAGGCTCTAGGGATGGTAACCAAGGTAGAAACCAATCTTATTATAGGGGAAGGGCATCAATGGCATTTTCTCCACCACTGCTTGGATTCTTAATTGGGGTCATCCCTGTGAATCCCCTAACATTTCCTCTGTGCCAGACCTCTCTCCATACCTGTACTGTCTCCCTCTATCAAGGCATCTCCTTTCTTGCCCTCCTCTATTCCTACCCTGAAGAGGAGAAAGGGAGGGGAGAGGAGAACAAGAGGACTGGCTTTTATTATTAAGGCCAATTAGAATTCAAGCAACAGTTGAGAGTCCCTGCTGCTGGTATTGAGGAAATGTTTATACCGTGTGCACAGCCACCCTGCTTGTGACCTCTTCCAGCCATGATGGACACACTTGCCAGAAGAAAAGCTCAAGCACATGCCCTAGACAGGGGACATGTTACTGACAAACATCTCTGAGTTTGTATGTGTGAAAGCTTTTTATAAAGTGGGAAAAAGTTACAAGGCTCAATACTTTAACAGTGAAATTAATCTTTGATAAATAATCCCAATCCTGTTAGTAATAATACTCCCTTTACTATTTTTTCTGAGGTAAAAAGAGAAAGAGAAGGAAGTAAATGAAGTGATGGGGGAGGAGGGATAAAAAGGAGGAAGTGAAGAAGAAGAGACAGTTGGAAGGGAGGGAGGCATGGGAATGTAGCTCAGTAGTAGAGCAGTTTGCCTTGCGTCTGAGGCCTTGGTTTCACTCTCCAGCACTGAAATAAATAAATAAATACATAATAAAGTCAACATTCATCCCACATATGTCCACTCTCAACCTCTCTTAATTCCAAACATTTCTCCCAGTTCAACCCCACTGTCAATCTCCTTCTAACAGATTGTAATTATTCAGTGGGAACCTCAGAAGTGTGGTGTGGACAGCTAGCCTTTTGTGTCCAGGGCTCATCCTCTCTGGGATGGTTGCTAAGGTTTCTCTCCCAGCATCTTTTCCTTGAATAGTCTTCCTTGGGACCATGTGATTCCACTCATTTGAGTCCATGCCCCCCAAAACAGAAAGGTCTTTACTTTTGTGTAAAGCCAAGACAAAAACCTGATTCTTACAATTAAAGAGAAAATGAACAAGTGAAGTGATCCTGAAAGAAAATTAAAGATGATAAAACTCAAAGCAGATGTCAGCTAATTTACAAATGTGGCACACAGCTCAGCAGGCCAGATTTTAGACTTCAGGCCAAAACAACAAGACTATCAAAAGAAAAACAATTAGTATCCCAGAGAGAATGAAAAACCAAAGCAGATGAGCCTTCCTCTTGCCAAAAAGATTCTGAATAAATTGGTGAGTTTTGTAAAGGGCAGCAGGTGAGCCTATTTGCATTTTCCCTGTTCTGCTGTCTCTAAAATGTGTTTGTATTTAAATAAAAGCCATCAAAGTCTAAATGACAGAAGCAAGCGGGGCATTTAAATTTTGAAATCAATTCTGGGGAAACACAAAGGGAGGCACAATGGCAACTCTCCATTGACTAGGTGACTAAGGAGTTAGGAAAAGAGACCTACACTTTTCAGCCCTTAACTATTGGGTTGCTTGCCTACCAGATACAGTCAAAACTGGGGAAGTGGAGAGCATGCTCTTGGTGACTGTGTGACTGGATGCTGAGCAGTTCCGCAGCAGTCTTGAGTTCAATGACTGATACAATAGATCACAGCTTCTCAAACTTTTCTACTTGCAACTTCTTGATAGCCAAGCAGTTTTTGTGACCGTGTGTGTGTGTGTGTGTGTGTGTGTGTGTGTGTGTGTGTGTGTGTGTGTGTGTGTGTGTACATGCATGTAGAAAAATGAATATACAACCAAACACTGATAATAAATCACAAAGAAATTTATTTTAAGACAAATCTCTGTTATATATACATATAATTTTATCTTTTATTGGGAATTAAAGCAGATTTGCACATTAATGAGAGAGATGGTTTTGTTTATTTTTTCAGAAAGAATTAGGGTTTGGTTGACTATTTAATTCTGCAGAAATAGAATATCTCTAATGCTTTCTAGAGTTGATCATTATTTTCAGTTTATAATCATCAATGTTGAGATGTCACTTCACTTGAACACATAGTACAAAAAGAGAGAAGTGCATATAGGGCCATTTCAGATACTGTTGGAAATTCTGCCCCAATACCAAATCAGAATGTATTTTTTATGAAACTTGTTGGACTTTCAAATAGCAATTTCTAAAACTAAATATTCCAACACACTGCAATCCAAAGACAGTAATTTGACAGTTGTGTCTTGAGAGATGATGGCAGGAAGATATTAAAAGTCTCTGTTTCCATAATTAAGCCATTGTTTCTATAAGAACAGAAAAGTTTTTTAAAATTTTTTATTAATTTATTTTTTATGTTCTAATCTGAGTTCCCCTTCTCTCCTTTCCCCCCATTCCCCTCACCTCCCATTTGTTCCTCAGAGAGGGTAAGTCCTCCCCTAAGAAGTCTACTGAGTCTGTCCCATCATCTCCTTGAGGCAGGACCAAGGCACCTCCCCCACCTCCACAGCCCTGTGTCTAGGCTGGGCAAGGAATCTTCCCATATAGAATGGGCTCCACTAAATCAGTTTGTGCATTAGAGTTAGATCTTGGACTAACTGCCAGTAGCCTCATATATTGTCCCAGTCGCACCATTGTCACCTATATTAAGGGAATCTAGTTCGGTCTTATACAGGTTCCTCATTTGTCAGACCTGAATCAGTGATCTCTCATTAGCTCAGATCAGCTGATTCTGTGGGTTTCCCCATCATGGTAAGAACAGAAAACTTTTGCACATAGGAAGAAAACATACCAGAGTCTTGAACCTGAGTCGAGGTGTTTCAAGCAGCATTTGCTGGTGGTGTGTGGTGTGATGAATGCACAGTTTAGCATGGTCAGAGAAGCCCTGAACTTTGTGCTGGAAAATAGAAAAGATGCCAAGAGCAAGGCCTCACTCACTGAAGGTTCTTGAGTATGAATGATAAATACATTTGAAAGGGAAGAGCCTGAACTTGGATCTCCAAATGGTCACCTAAGGAAATATTTTCCTAGGTCAGCTTTTTTAGACCAGGTTGAGAGATATGCCTGCCTCTGCCTCCCAAGTGCTGGGATTAAAAGTGTGTACCACTACCACCCAGCTTAGGGTCATTGTTGAACGCACACAAAGGCTATTGTAGCTTCTGTCTAAGAGAGCCAGGCTATATATTAAACTGGCAACATAACCTGCCAGCATTGTCCATCTGGTATTAGCTTTGCAAACATGAAGATTACAGGAGAAAATTGGGTCATGATGACATCTTTCAAATTTTCAGAAAGTGGCTGAAGCCAGGCAGTGTGCAGCAGGGCTCTATTCTCTGCAAGGAAGCCCTAAGAATGAAACTGGGAAAGTGAGATCTAAGTTGCTATGGAGACCACAGGATGCTGAGATGCCGTAATGGTGAAATATCTACTGAGGAAAGCTGCGAATGTGAAATGGAGCTAGCCCAAGAGAGAGGTTATATGTACATACCACAGGAAGCAGCTGATGAGATGTGGCTACCCAGACAATTCCATCATGAGCCCCAAGTGCCAGATAAGGAGGCACAGCATTTGATGTTTGCCCTTCTGGGTTTTAGTCTTACTATACTATGACATATCGTTGCTATCCTCCTGTTATTTGGAGAATGGAAATATTGTGTCATTATATGTTGGAAGTATGACACTTTTTTTATTTCTTAAGAGGTCAAGTTAAAACATTGCCTTGAACCTTAAAAGAGACTTCAATCTTTGGGTTCTTGCCTATGTT